AATGTTTAAAACTGTTTTGTACATTCCTTAAATGAAGACTTATTATCTGGGTATCAAATAAAAGAGCTTGGAGAATAGAATGCGAAAAACGAGAGTCCATCAGGAACCCAAGTTTGGAAACCACGTTAACAACCCCAATCTCTGCATTAAGCATCTTAATCGCTACCAAAAAATTGTAGTCATAATCGACCAGCGAGATAATGGCTTTAGTTTAGTAAAGTAGTAAAAATCAGACAAGAAAGTAATGTGATTCAATTTTTCATTGACACGCTAAACTAAATAACCCATCATTCCGAGCGGCACGAGAGACAGATGGGTACATCATTAACAAAACGTATTAAGTGCAAGAGGTTGCGTTACTTTTGCTTATTTGCTTATGTATGCTAAAAATTCGCTTTTGTAATACACCTTTTGCAACGCTGTTAACTTAGTTGACATTTTCTTTTTCGTCACCTTAAAGGTGAAAAGCAAACTTCATTGTTAATAAACAACAAAGACCGGTCGCCACAAAATAAATATATCAATTTACTTTGCCCAATTTAATTATTTTGGATCTCACATAACATTTAGGGATTATGTAAATTATTAACGGATTGGACTTATTAATCTTATCCATAAGATTTCGTTATAAAAAGTAAATTTTGCAACTCAACATAAACTTGTAGAAATGGGAGATGGTGACGCAAACGATACAATCAATGTAGCCGCGGATCCACAAGCACCTGTTACTCGCGACCTAAAGGTTTCTAATCTGCTTTTGACTGATAAAGGTTGCCCTTATTGCCCGGCAAAATAGAAATAGCTCAGCTTGAACTGATTATTGGCCTATTAGGGACTCACACAAATTTGGCCATCTGGCCAAATTTTCCAAAAACGCCATCCATACAAAATATCACTCTTAAACAACAGCCCTATAACAATCTCAAACCAAAGTTTCAATATCTGTCAGTAGCAGATTTAAGACTTTTAAATTTTCTTTTTATGCTACAGAAGGCATGGCCACCTTGGAAATGCTATTAACCAAAATACCCATTAAAACGGAAAAGCAGGCATTGAAAATTCTCGATATATGTTCTAAAAAGCAATTTATTAATGCTGAAGAGGAAATCTGCAAGGTACAAGCAAAAAAATCTTTCACCGAAGAACGTTATGGTAATGCTTTGGAATGGGCGATAAGATCTAGGGATACTTTGTATGTTACGTCTATCGCCGACTACCTACTAAAGGTGTGTAATATATTGCAAATGTTTATAACATTGAAAAAATTTGCAAAATTCCCTTCCAGCACTACGTTCAGACGGGGGATATATTATGTCCTGACGTTATAGCTAACATAGGAGCAAAAATGTTCATTTCACCGCGATTAGTGTTTTTGGCGAAATACTTTGATTTCTATCAATTTTACAGAAAGAAAGATTTACTTCCTGCCGCTGAGCTGCTGCTAAACTTATTAGAATCTGAAATTATTCCAGAATAGTAAGTACAAAAAATAAAAGATTTGCTTCAATTAAATATAATTATATGTACAGTTTTTGGCCTTCTTTATTGGTTGATACCATACCTTTACTGGAATCGAAGGATCCGAAAATTTTCTTCAAAGAGACTTGCTGTATATTACAGCACTTAGAGAGCAACTTAATGCCGCTGATTGAAAAGAAGAAAAAACATATGGAAAAACATCCGAATGTAAGATAAATTTTTCTTTGCTGAATGAATATGAAACACATTCGTTCGTTCCTTTCCAGGAGCCAATCAATATCCTTAAACACTATCGCCTTGATAATGTCGAACAAATTGTTAACCTGCTGCGTTTAGCCTGCGCCCGAAACCTGTCCCGTGCTATTATTATAGAAAACACACTAATAAATTGAAAATACCGTTTGAGTTACGCTTTCGTTTTGTTCATATCAGCGTTTAATTTCCAATGCTCTTTTCGAAACTGATGATTGAATGAAAATATCTAATTCGGAAAGAACATATTAATATTTTTTCTATCTTTCAATTCTTTGCATGTTCAAGAAACGATGCATACTTAAAAAAAAAGCTCATTGAAGTTCTATGAAAATGAAAAAAAGCTTCGTGCACAAGCTACGAGTAATTTCAAGTAATTGGAAAGTAATTTCGTTTTTTCTTTGTTGTATCCATTCCTGATGGGAATAAATGATTGCCTTTATGTCTACAGATGAGAAATGTTGGGTTCGAAGAGCTCGTAAAGAGCTAGTTTCTCGACCACATATAAAAATTGTGAAGTTATTACAACAACCAACTAGGGTGCGTCGGAAGGGAAAAATCGTATTGAAAACATTGCTGTCCGTTTGTGGCCTAGGAATAACTTGACATCAAATGAACCTCACCTAGATTTGAACCTCACTGGCCTATTTTTTCTGCATGATCGCACACACGGACTAGTACGAAATATTACATTTTATAAACCAAAAAGCTTGTTTTAAATATTTTATAATGGAAATGAGTCCTTAGTAGACTATGTAATTTTAGTGGATTATGATGCAAACAGGTGTATGAGTGCATTAATCAAAGTAGCTTGTTACTTCGTTACAATCAGCGGCTTGACGCATGTAAGAGTCGGCCTTCGTGCTCTTACTTGTTGCATAAGAAATTGTGTTTGTGAGCATTAAGAAGCGTTATTAGCTTATGAACTCATGTAATTTTTAATTTGAAAGATCAAAACTACGATCAGCTACCATCCACATGTGTGATTTATTTAATTGTTTCTAGCATTACTTTTTATGCTTTGTTAACAAAACATTACAAAAAAAAAAAACGAACGCAATCATTTAATTAGATAAGATTCTTTGTGTGTTATATACTCATAAGTGCATCTATGATTTCGGATACGTGTGGAAAATGGAGAGAGCACAGACTTATTTTTAATAAATAAGAAAAATGGTGAATAAAAAATCTCTCTCATCTGTTAAATGAGAAAACGTAACGAAGCAGTCGTGCACATCTCTGTTAAGTGAGAAAAAGGAACAAAGCAGCCATGCATATCTCTGTTAAATGAGAATAAGTCGTTGAAAAAACACAATAATTCTGTTAAACGAGGATTTGCTATGTCTTTTAAGCGGAATGATGTTTCGAAAGAATTTCTTAGAGAATTCAAAAACAGACCATTTACCAAAAATATTTTTTATTTATGCTTAACACAAAACATGATCGCTATGCTTTCATAAAGTAAATTTAAAAACACTGACCATGGATAGAAGACAAGGCCTGGCCAAGGTCATCGTAAAGAAACTCATTACAACTGGATCGAAATTTAAAATTTTCGGGTACATATCCATGGGCGATAATGTGCCCGACGTAATAACAACAGTTTGAAATCTTTGAAATACTGGAGCTATAGCTATAGAAGAATCCATGCAACTGAAGTGCAAGATAGGATTCGCTACGGTTGGATGATGGTGAAGCCTTTAATATATGTAGAAGCTAAAGTAGCGAAATGCGTAACGTGCAAATGTGCAATTTAGTGAATATTGTTTAGCTTTTTTACGTGCAATAGCAAACCAATATTAAGGAACCATATTCAGTCATATCGGTAATTTCCAGAGTTCTTAATAAGCTGCTTAGGCGCTCCGCACAAAATCTTAAAGGTTTACGTTCAATACATACGTGTTCAAGAAAAGCAGGAAGTTTATTGATGATAAACAAAAAGCCACAACAGCAATAATTATCAATTTTGAGCTCATTATTATGTAGGTTTCTTTAACAAAATTAAAATTAACCTTTTGTTTTCATTGAGTCCCTTCGTGACTCTTATTTGAATGTCCATTATCAGGAAACTGGCGTGTTTCCAAAAAAGTGCTGACAAGCCTGCTTATTGAAAAAAAGTCGATAAACATCACTTCATCACGAGATCGCGATCTTCCATGCGATTTCAAATGTTATGTTCGCTATAAGGGATTGAAAAATGATGATATCGTCCGGTGAATGCTGTTTTCTCTTACTCAATGGTCATAAGCAAACGACGATTGTAACAGCTATCTCCTTTTAGTCTCGGAGAATCTTACCTATTACCTACTAATTTTAGGATCATCCGAAGGTCGCGCAGTATTTAAGAAAATGCTTTGCGGCTTTCGTATTCTGCTCAACTTTGCCATACCTTACCTTAGATTTATAACGGCTTTGGCCCAATTGAAATTACGCCATATTA